CTGTTCTCTATCTCTCTGTCTGGCTAGCCCTCATCCTACTATTGCATCTACCTACCCCAGCGCACCAGATTGTATTCAAAATACCCCCAAGATCGGCCCCGCAGCAAACGCTTCATCTGCGATAGCAAAAAGCAAAACTTCTCACTACCCCAGCCTAGCCGCTTAACCAACAAGAGAGAAAAAATAATACTCCAACAAATAATAAAATAAAAAAAAATAAGCTAGTAGAGAGGTCTTGTATATCTAATAAGTATATAATTATAACCTGCATATGCAATGTGCTTTTATAGTCTTCTGATTGGCTCATTGAGAGGTTTTGTTTCACTTGAAACATGTTGTGTTGGATATTAACATAGGGTATTAATTGTACTGAGTGGTGTTAGGTTGTTCACATGTTTTCTACTGGTTCTGGGAATCGATTAGTAGTTCGATTTTAGCGACTTGATGGCTGTTAAAGGGATATACTTGCAGCTTGAACTGCTGATATATGGGGATATCAGAAAAGGCAAATATCGACCGGAGCAGATCTAGATATAGTGATGGACTTTGCCCGCCAGGAGGGGTCGAGGGCCATGCAGTGGCCTGAGAGACCTGACTGACAGGCAAATAGAGAAAATAAGCCGCAAAGCGGCTTGCCTGTATATTGGACTGATTGATACACATATAGTACCGGCCGAAGGCCGGAAACTACTTGTATATATATAGAGCCGGTTAGGCGTCTACTTGCCCTAATGCTGTAGCCTAGCCTATGTTCTAACCACAGACGTGGGACGCAAGCTCTACATAAGACGACATCTGTGGATACTTCATGGTAGCACAACAAAAAGCCCGCCAATTTTCCCGGCGGGGGGAGGGGCAAAAGAAAAATATTCCTGGTATCATGACGTGACGTGACTTTGGTACATACATCGAGAGTAACCACATGTATAGTCGCCCTCAGCTATAACGAACGTGCATATTGGGCCATTTTTCGTTCGGTATAGCAGATTATTCGGTATTATTCGGCATAGCAGACTAAATTCTTTGCTGAAACAAAAAAGAAGCTGGCCCAAGTGGTTCGGTACAGCAAATATTCGGTATAGTGGCATTCGTTACATCGGAGGGCGACTGTACCACTCTACCAGGGAGCTCACAGTTACCCGGTATCTGTCTGTACGAATTCGACATGTAGGTACCTGAACTACAGTACTAGCTAGTATGATATGACATACTTATCTACCCCCCACAACCCCCTCCCGGACCCTACATGTAGTTAATCCCCCCGATCCCGACCCCCGGATGTGAATGTATCAAAGATTTCTACTCATCTTATATTGTTTTCCCCTCACTATATCCACAGACGTACCGACTGCATGCCACAATTGAAACAGATCAATGCAAATGCAACAAGATCATAGACGGTAAAAAAGATGCAAAAATAAAAAAAGGTTATAAAAAAGAACGGTGAAAGAGTACAGTTAGTAGTAACGGCTCTCCGTTTCAGCAAGCAGCAAGCGCTCCTCCACGAGAAAAACAAAAAAAGTCTACTGGCTTTCTCAAAAACTACTCCCCCCCCAAAAAAAAAAGAAAAAAAGAAAAAAAGAATCAACACCATAACGAACACCCCCCCCACACCTGCCTTCCAAAAGCAAAAGCAAAAAGAACGAAAAACTCCCCAAAACAGAAACCCCACCCCTTCGATCGTATTCCACAATCCTTCTCTTTTCCAGAATTGCTATTCAACCCCCTTGTCTTGCTTGTCCCACCTCCAATAGGCCGTGTAGTAGTAGTAGTAGTAGTAGTAGTAGTAGTAGTAGTAGTAGTAGTAGTAGTGTAGGGGTTAGCCTAGTTTGATAAGTTGTTTTTTCATGAGATCTAGAAGGAATTAATTAAGGGAGCCCCAATCGATTCCCTTTTCTAGAAGTCTTCCCCCCTCCCACGGTTTTCACCAATTGTGTAGAGTAGTAATGTTATGTGTGGTGTGTGTTCCCGCCAGGTGTTTTTCAAGAGAGAGAGAAAAAAAAGAGTTGTGCTAAAAATGACGATACCCCGTGCCATGCTTTTTGTTCCGCCCATATACCTTAGAACCTAAGAATCCAGTAAACCGAACGAAAAGGAAAATAAAAGAGAAACCTTAATGACAACGCTTATAGAGAAAATCCGGAGAAACAAAAAAAAAGAGGAAATCAATCACATGCAAAATAACCAAAAAAAAAAAAACGCACAGACAAAAAATACACACTCAATAGCTTTCCCAGTCATATAGACAGCCCCCACAAAGAAGAACGAAAAGAAATCGTGACACAGAAAAGATACCCATAGCAGAGATGCAACCCGTAGTCAGGCTTAATAACTCCTCCCATATGATGCTGCAAGCCGTAGTTACCCCATATAGGACCAAGAGCTAGCCTGATGGGATCTTCCGAGGTAGCCAGTAGAGATATATGCATGGTGTTGATATCAGGAAAACACCGAATGCGGGGAGAGTTGCACGTTCTAGATGGATAAACGATCCAGTGACAGTCGATCATAAGATCGTTGCCTCCTTCTAACCCGCATTCATGTCAGTATCACAATCACACAGAAAACACCTCCGTTCCGGCTTGCAAAGGATGGGAAAGACGGGGCAGGGGGGAGGGTGGGGGTACAGAAAATCAATCACACATACACTGGCTGTAACCGGTAGAATCTTTCCTGCCCATCCGAATTTCTCCCTCCAATCCACCACTTCTCTCCGCTCGGCGGCTCCACAAACCCCTCTGTCGAGCTGCTCGACGACCTCCGTCGCCTGCTCGAGGTGAATGTCGGCTGCTGCTGATTCGTGTTGTTGCTCGCGTGCGTGGCGGCGGCGGCAGCGGCGGCTGCAGCGGCGGTTGCAGACGATGAGGCAGCTGCTGCGGCCGAAGAGGTTGCTGATTGGGATTTTGTGGGCTTGGAGGATGACGGGGACGGTGAGTTATTTGACGTGGTCTTTGAGGCGGCGCTATGGGCTCTGAAAGCTACCAGCAGATTGGCAAGGAAAGGTCTGTTGGTCGGCATGGTGGTGGTGGTCTGTTTGATCCTTGTGGAAGAAGGGGGGGGGGATTAAAGTGTTGATATTATGATATATTACGCTACTGTATTATAACACCAGCTGATTTTCCACCTGGTCGTGGAGGAAGAGAAAGGTTGTGAGGTTTTGGTGGTCGAGAGAAGAACGGGGGTAGGTGTGAGTGAGAGGTTGTGGTTGGTTGTGTGCGGTTGAGCTGTCGTGCTTGGGGTTGCTAGAGCGAAAGCCCCGCGGAATGACAAGCAGGAGAGAGAGGTAACCGGAAGAGGGGAGGGAGGAAACAAGCACCGGATATGTATGGCTGGACTGGAGGATAGAGGAAAGTTCTGAGTGGATGAGGTGGCTGTACAGAGTGGGTAGTGCACGGAGCGGAAGAGCGGAGATCCAGAGGCGGCTGTTCTGGAGGTTGATGAGAAACTGGGGTAGGGGCTCAGAACATCGGGCGAAAACGGGTCACTGGCTCTGGCGTTCAGGGCGTGTAACCGTGGTTTTCGACGAGTAGGAATAAAGATAGAGTAGAGGTAGGGAAGAGATCTTGAGAGCTATTCAACCTCACTTCTCGTTCGCTCACGCACTTGATACTCACTTGTTCACTAATAAATAACGTTTCCTCTGCCCCGCAAAGATAGATACAGTAGTCAAATAAATGAACTGATTTTCTATCCCCCGGTGTCAAGAGGAGAAAGGACAGGGTAGGAAAAAGAAGCTGTCTGATATGATGGAAGGGAGATATATATCCACAAGTGCGGGGATCTCCTCTCTATCCTTGGGGGCCGAGGTCGGTACTTTTTAAGAATATGACCAAGATAGAGCTAAAAGAGAGGAAGATGTAAGACGAGCCGGGCGATCAAGGTTTCAGGCCTCTTTGTTTTGTACTTGTTTTGTTTCCCAGGGCTTCCTCCTCTTCTTAAGTCTTTTTTGTATTCTGACTCCACGCGCCTTGGGGGCACACGCTATGTATGTACTCATCATATACCTACAGCTTTAATTCGTCTCCCTGCGTCAAAGCAGGCAGGGCACTGACCGATAAAACCTCAAAACAGGAAATACATGTATGTAAAAAGCGAGAGGGTGGTGGGCTGAGGGAAACACTCTCTACTCTACACAGAGCACTCGACTCCCACCCAAGCAAGCAAAGGTCAGAAAGGGGATCTGTTGAAAGTGTGCTGTCTGTGATGATGCGAGTGTGTCGAAAAAGAAATGCGGCTGCGTTACTAGCGGGGACAGGCCGGGAATAATCGTGGGGTGCAAGGGAGGTTAAAAAAAATCAGTATGTAATTGGCTGTTATCTGATTGGTGCGCTCTGACATCTGATACTGGCGATCCCCTTGCAAAGAGCCCAGAGTGACAGACAGTGACAGGCAGAGAGGTTGATGGTGAACAACGGTATGAAGTCCGACTGGCAGCAGCAGGGGAAACAAGCAATTAGGAGACGAGAGTACTTTAATCAGACTCACGAGGGCGGATTTGTATGTATCATGATGTATGGTGGGTGGTATTTAGTATTTGCCGGTCGGAATGACAAACGTCAAAGACGATTAGGAAGCATGGCGAATTCGAAGTGTAAAGAGAACGCAAAAACAAAAAAAACAAAAGAAAAGAAAAAACCCTCTAGGACGCATGATGGTGATAGGGTATTCTGGTCTGGTCTGTGTTTTCTTCTTATTCAGAACCTAGACAATTCTAGAAACCGGGAATCCCAAGGTTCACGGCGTTCTTTTTCTCTTTTCGTTTTTTCCCTCACTTCTCACGTGGAGCAACCCGGTTCGGGAATCGGGTGGGAGTTAGCCGTTTTGTTTTCCCTGTCTCTGCCAACCCTACATCAACACAAAAACCACAGCCCGATCCCGAGTAGATCCCTCATCAGCCAGACCAGACAGCCTCATTTACACCTCTCCCCTCACCTCCAACCCCCCCACCCCACAAAAACCACACACTCACTCAGAACTCACCTACCACAATCACCACCACAATGGTACGCACAACCCCTGCAAAAGATGTCAATAGAGAATAAGCTTTTTTTCTAACAAGCAATCACCTATGCAGCCGTCCCGCTACGTCTCTCCCTACGGCCCTAAGTGAGCAGCCCACCCGCCGCTCACCCCGCCGTTTCTATCCGTCCGATATATATTGGATACTGACAATCAACCCGCATAGGTTCCGGCCACAAGTGAACATTGCTGGATTCCCGCTCAAGGCCCTTAAAAACGTGTAGGTTCCCATCAATTCCATCAATCTCTCATCTCCCGCCATCTGACTGACGTGGCCGCATAGTGGTATTTCCGCTAGCGCATTCGGTGTTGTTGCTGGTTGTACCGTCATCTACCTCCTCGAAGGTGTACCGCGTGTCCAGAACGATATCCTCAAGGTTTGCCCTCGCCCTCGCCCTCCTCCCATACTTTAACCCTCTCCTGCTCCGATAAACTAACACATTGGGGTGTGAAGAAACTTCCTTTGATTGGAGGATACTGGGTAAGGGAGAAGATTGCTTCTGACAACGTATGCAACCCAATCTTTTATCTATCTATCTATCTATCTATCTAGGTCGAATAGTTGTGTTGACTCTTTTTTCTTTCTTTCTAAATAGCCGTTCTAAACGTTCTCGATATATACGATTTCGAATTAGCTCTTTTTCCCCCATTCCGTTTTATTTTCTAGTTTTGAGCACGAGCACGAGCGCCCTTGATACCAGGTTTCCTGACGTTGCATGAGTTTTGTGCGATTGCGATTGCGGATCAATACCTATATTACTCCAAAAAGGGAAAGGTTAGGTTGTTGTTAGATGAGACCGGGGGTTAAATAAAAACGGTAGAATTTTTTTAGAATTGATGGGTTATCTTGGTCGTGCCCACCTCACCTGCTGCGATGGTGTGATGTGATATGTGAAGTGAGATCGGCGAATAACTTGGACTTGGGGAAAGCTTATGGTGGAGTGTGGTTACATGTCTTGGGAAAAACATGGAGATAGGGCATGGAATGTTGTAGAATATTTCTTCGCTTGGCCTGGTCTCAAACCCAGAGTTCCTTTTTGGAGATCAAGTTGTGGTAAGATTGCTGAGACATGATACACACATCCAATCGTGTGTTTGATGATCGCCAGCCAGGGTCACTCGCTCGACGATGATATCTCCATTGGGCACTGGTTGGTCGAGAGTAACGTTTTAGACCGGGTACTGTGTCAGACATAGAAGAGTGTCAATCCCATACAAATTTGTATGGGGATTTCTGTTGCCAAAACTATCTCCACCATCTCTTGAGATATTTACTGCCAGATTTTTAACAAATGAATTCCATTTAAAAGCACACGGATTAGGATGGTTTCCAGATGGATTATCCTCTATTATGGTGTTATGGGGTCTTCTTTCTTTTTGGGGGCTTTGTGTCTGGTTTTGGTGCCGTTGCCATGCGACACACTTCTAGGTCTGACACAGTACTGGGTCGAAAACGTTAGCTGCCGCAATTACTTATTTTGGTTTCACAATTAGATTAATAGATGCCAAGATTAATCTCGTACCCACCCCCTACGAGCAGCAAGCTTATGAGGGCTGCTGGGTACGAGCCTACGCCAAGATGAAGGTGCTGGTACTAGCTATCATTGACACTGCAGTCGTGCCCAATGAATTATCATTATTCCATGTCACACACAAGTACCAATATCAAAAGCAAGCACCCAGTATCACTCGAACTACCAATAATTAACTACCTATCATAGCTTCCTATCTACAAGCCCAGAGGAACACCCATAAACGCCCACCTCCCCCACTCACCCACTGCTACTTCTTCCCCATAACTCCCGGCACCCAATACTCCCTCTCCTCCGCCTGCTCATCCACCCACACCAACCCCTCCGCCACCAGGTCTCCAGCACCGTCACCACCCGCGCCGCCTCCCAGCCCAGATTAACCCTGACCATACTCGCCGCGACCCCAAACCCACAGATCTCAATCGTGCCCAGCACCGTCGCCTGGTCGCGGTTCAACTCCCTCGGCACGCTCCGCACCATCAACCTCCTCCCCACCGCCACCACCGCAAACCCACTCCCCAGCGGCTTCAGCGCCTCCACCGCCCGCAGCACATCCTCCTCCCCCACCCCTTCCCCCCTCCCGCTTCCCCGCCACCACCAAGCCGATCCACCACCTCCGCCACCGCAATCAACCCGCCGTTCTCGCCCCGCGTGCGCCGGCAGACTTCAACCACGCGCACGGCGAGCTCGAAATAGAAGTCGCCGACGCTGCCGCCGAGCAGCTCGGCCCAGAAGGAGCCCTTCTTGCCGCTGCTGGACGCCAAGGGGTCCACGCCGATGGCGGCGCACATGCGCGCGAACTCGTGGCGGAAGGCCGGGTTGGAGCGGATGTCGGCTGCGTGGGTGCGCGCGAAGTGCGAGAGTTGGGACTGGAAGACGGAGAGTTGCGTGGTGAGTTGGTCGATGTGGGATTTTTGCAGCGCGGCGCCGTGGGTGGTGTAGGTGCTGCGGGTGTGGGTGGTGCGTGAGAGGGCGCCGAGGCCGACGCCTTTGCGCATTGTGGTGGGGGACTTGTTGGGAAGGGTTTATATGGAGGTCTTGATATTAGTGGGAAGTTGCGGGAGGTCGCTGGTGGGAGCTCTCTGCTAAGTGGGAGGATAGCTTCTGTACAGGTGAGAGTGAGTGGGAGAAGGGTCAATAATTATGTCTGATATAGAGCTTTATCGCAGTATTAGATGCGGGGTGCGGGGCACGGGCATGTATCGTAGCTAACCAAGGCAGCTCAAGATCAATGATCAGTCCGCGGGTTGGGTTGGTATGTAGTCGTCGTCGTGCATGGTTCATTAGGTGTGTGCATCAGCCCAAGTGCAAGTATGCATGGGAGGGAGGTGTCCCGCACCCGCGCGTGTTACCCGGCCTTCCGCGCCGATCGGTAGGGCCTCCGACTGCAGCCCCCCCGGGTTTATCCAATCACATCTCGGGCCTTGCTAGTCAGTCACAAAGGGTTCTTCGGAGAGCTTCCTCTGCGCAGCAAAATTAGCGGATATATATACTAATCGGAGGTTTTTTTTTTTTTTTTTTTGCGATTCCCGCGTTCGCTGCCGACACTCGCTTGATCAGACCTCACAACGACTCGACTAGTATATTCTTCTACAAGCTTTACGACTGTTTGTTCGCTCGAGCTGTTTTTTTTTTTTGTCTGGTGATAGTGGTGACTCGACTCGATCGTACGTAGAGTACGTACGCGCACATCGTTATACCGGAGCCCGGAGCAGGAGCAGGACAGACGATTTATCTCTTACTGTTTAATTACTCGAGGCGGTAAAGTAGGCAGCGGAGCGGAGGTGCGCCGTCAACGAGGAGGAGACTCTCCGTCCGTACGTACTCTACAGTCTACAGGCACAACAACAGGTTAAGCTTACTTAATTACCAAGCAAGCAAGCAGCACGTCGACTACAATTACATACAAGCACACACATTCTCGCAAAACACAATCTGGCTGTCTATCTGTCTATCGCACTTGGACATAACCCATAACCAACAACCCACAGCCCACACCTCATCTCTCCCCCCTCTATTACACTCATCCACTCATCTCATCTCTACCCACCCCCCACATACACATACACATACACATACACATACATACACACACACGGCTGCACCCCCTCACCAAACATGTGCGATGCTGTTCCCCTACCCCAGCTCCAAGACTAACCCCTCCACCACCACCACCCCCACCACCCCCGACGCCGACGCCGACATCGACCTGCAAACCACCGCGCTCAACTCGGCCCTCGAAACCCTCATCGAGGTGTTCCCACATGTCGAGGTCGACGAGTTCCGCCACCTGCTCGAGACGCTCTCGGAGGAGTCGCGCCTCTTCGTCATCACCGACATGATCCTACGGCGTAACAAGGACGGCGGTGTGCCGCGCCGCCGCATCGGCGCAAAGCTCGAGGGCTGGGAGATGTTCCGCACGGCGGGGTACCGGGAGGCGGCGAGGGCGTTGCTGTAAGTGTTTGCCCTATCTTTTTTTTTCTTTCTTTCTTTTTGGTTTTGATAGAGTAGATACATGGACTATCACTCATCCCCCTTTTCATTCCTCTCTGCTGCTACATGAACTATCACTCACCTGCCCTGCCCGCTCCACTACAGCAACAAAGAATTCAAGGGCCTCTCCAAATCCACCATCAAGGCCGTCATGGCCGAACACAACCACTCCTACCCCCACACGCGCCACACCCTCTCCACCATCGCCGCAAAGTCCTGGCGCTTCTCTCTCTCCTCCTTCTTCCGCGGCAGCACCCGGCCCCCCACCGCCCCAACCGGCAACCCCACCCTCGACGCCGAGCTCTTCGCGCTCGCCGCCCCCGCCCGCGACTCCCAGATCGCCTCCGACCGCGCCATGGCCCGCCTCCTCAACGAAGCCGAGCACGCCACCGCCGACGCCCTGGTCGAGTGCGAGTGCTGCTACGGCACCTACCCATGGGACGAGACAGCCGTCTGCGCCGCCGACCCCGCCCACTTCTTCTGCCACGCCTGTCTGCTCCGCAGCGTGCAGGAAGGGCTGTACGGGCAGGGCCGCAACCTCGTCCCCGAGACATGCAGCGTGCGCTGCCTCTCCTCGGCCGCGGACCCGCCATGCGAGGCCTTCGTCGCCCCAGAGCTCCTGCAGCGCGTCCTCCCGGAGGACGTCCTACGCGCGCTCGAGGAGAAGACGGCCGCAGAGAGCCTCGACCGCTGCGGGCTCAACCTCGTAAAGTGCCCGTTCTGCCCGTACGCGGAGGTGGCGGAGGAGGTGGCGTGGCGCGTGCGGAGGGTGGTGGTCGGGACTGGGGGCGCGGTTGGCGCGGCGGTTGCGGCGGCGGCGGTGGCGCCGCGGGCGCTGGTGGGCGTGTTGCTGGGCGTGGTGTTGGCTGTTGGACTGATGTTGCATATGCTTCCGCAGTCGAGGATCGTCACGGCGGCGGTGGGGAGGGTGACGAGGGCCGCGGGAAGGATTGCGGCGCAGCACCGCGGGAAGCTGTTTCGGTGCGGGGCGCGCGCGCGCTGCGGCCGTGAGAGCTGCATCGAGTGTGGGAAGGAATGGCTGCCGTTTCATAAGTGCTTCGAACAAGAATCCGACAGCGTCCGCATCTTTGTCGAGAAGGCCATGGCCGACGCCGTCAAGCGCACTGTACGTCCATCCACCCCCCTCCCCATCCACCCCCACCTCCCTCTCCCCCACTAACACCCAACCAACAATCACAGTGCCCCCGCTGCAACATCTCCTTCATCAAATCCGACGGCTGCAACAAGCTCACCTGCCCATGCGGATACACCATGTGCTACGTGTGCCGCGCCGACATTGGCGCCGCAGGCTACACGCACTTCTGCCAGCACTTCCGCCAGGACCCGGGCAGCGAGTGCACCGAGTGCGACGCCTGCAACCTGTACGTTGCCGAGGACGAGGCCGGCGCGATCCGGCGCGCGGCGGAGGCCGCCGAGCGCGAGTATGTGCGCCGCTGGGGCCGGGCAGGGAGGGAGGGCGGGTGGGTGTATCGCAGGGCCGAGATGGGCGGGAGTGTGTTGGGGTCTGGTGAGTCTGCTTCTTTCTGCTGCTTTTTTGTTATTGTTTTTGTGGTGATGGGGAGGCTGACGCGGGGCAGAGGTTATGGCGGGCGTGAAGGAGGTGGAGGTGGAGGGTGGGGGGTGGGGGGACGTGCTGGATGGGTGGGTGGGGAGAGCGCTGGAGGGGGTGCTGGAGGTTGAGGTGGATGGGGGGTGGGTTGTTTCTTGTGAGTCTTCTTCGTTGTCACTTTTTTGGGATCGGCTGGTTGGCGCGGTGGTTGGGTTATAGGGTATGGGATGGCGGGGGCCGGAGGGCCGGGGAAGGGGAGGGGGAGGGGGAGGGAGGGCGGGGCCAGAGGGGTGTAACTAGACTCGACTCCACTCTACGCTGATGGTATGATGGTTTGATGGGTATGTATTTCTTCTTTTTTTTTTTTTTCTTTTTACTTGATGGTTTTTTTGATGGGTTTTTCTGTTATGCTACTACTACTATTTTTTACAACAGGGATGGGGCTTGCTGGGGACATTTTTTTTTTTTTTTTTTTTTTTACAGACCTGACTTGTGCTTGCTCTTTTTTTCAACCTCTTTTTTATGCATGGCGAGATGGCGCGAACATTGATTTTTTTCGATTTTTTTCGATTTTTTTCTTTACCTGAACGGGACTAAAAAGGAAAGGAAAGATCGCTACTACTATGTAGTTATATTGGTTCTTGAAGCTTTTTTGATATATATATATATATATTATATATCTATATATTATACGGGGCAGTAATCCAGTTGGGGGGGGGCTTGGCTTAGAGGTTCGATCGAGTATTTTCAACCCTTTGATCATTGGACCAAGTCAAGGGTCGCCTCAGCCAATTGTTTAGATTTTTGCCTTCCTACTTCCTATTTGGGGATATGTGTTTTTTGTGCAAAAAGGCCCCCAGAATCAAAAGGTGCCATTTCGAGGTTCCCATTACTGCTTTTTTTTGGGGGACTTTGATAGCGGCATGATTTCCCGGCCCGCCGCCCATATCGTTACCTGGATCCTTGTGGCGGTCGGTGGTAAGCCATGAAAAAATGTATCGAGTGATATATCATGACCCAGGTTGCCAAGCTCGGGAGGGATTGGTTGTACTAGAATATGGGATGGTATACACAGGAGGGAGGCATTTTATCAGGATGAATCTCGGGACCTGTGGGAACTTGAAAGTATAAAGCTGTACCTACTGTCAAACAAGTAAAAAAAACACGGTTTCGGCTTCAGCTGACAAGCCACGTGGCCCTTTTCTTTCATCTGTTTTAGCTAGCCAGTGAGATATCTCCTGAGTTTTAGGCTTTCGACCGTATCGTTTTTGTAGATTGTGCGATGGTTCTAGTAGAGGTCCTCCCGGGGGGGGGGGTTGAAAGTCAATTGACAGCAGGTTGCTTGAAATGATTATTTGTGGTTCCCTCCCCCCCCTTTTTTTTTCGTATCCTCCTTTGATTTGAATATCAATATTGCAGCGAGTCCCAAGAACCCTGCACAGCGGTTTTTAGGTACTGTTCGCCCCATCCAACGCCGGCATTGCCTGTATAAGCCATGCTGTATTCTCGCCCCCCAGAGCTTTTGTCGCATTCCACGGGAGGACAGTCAGGACAGACTAGGTCTTGGAATGGTTGAGAGCATGATTTGATGGTCTCTTTTTTTTTCTTTGCACCTTGTACCTGCTCTACTCCTTAACGATTCGGCCCCGGCAGATTAGAGACCCTTTTGCCACTGTCTTTTTATATGGGCTTGCTTTGATTATTTGCCGTTATAGAACCCGGGTCCCCCGAGTGGTTTGCCCATCGTGGGAAGGTCGGATAACTCTAGAGGGTTGCATACAAACCATCGTGATACATCATCTGCTCAGGGTGAAGCCTGTGGGGTTATAGGTCGATTGACTTGCATATGCGGCGAGAGACTTCTCTAGATTGGATGAAGAGGTATGAAGAGCGTCCATCCTGACCGACGGTTATGTAGTCAGGGCCGCAGGCATA